GAAATGTTGGCAGTTTTCTCAAAAAAGGCTTGAATTCAAGAAGTTTTAGATTAATCAGCTTGGTGACGGTGTCGTTTGAGGTTCTCGAAATTTCTAGTTTTGTCCATCCTTACCTTAAAGATCACTTCAAATTAAGCCCTCTCAGTGAAAATTTTCCTGAAGGGTTCATAAATAAAGCCAAAAAACATTCACAAACCTTAAGTGCCGGTGCACACGAGCGTTTTTTAACGGTGCGCTGACGAGACGTCAAAAAACGCGCACACGAACGTTGCTACAGTAGCAACAACGCTACACATAAAAACTGATGATGGTGGAAAACACCGAAACGTATTTTAATTGATAAATAAAGACAATAAATGACTGAAACCCAGGAATTGATTTTGATTTGGAATTGAAACACAGTCAGGAAAGTATATACAATTACTTAATAAGGTTAGACAATAAAATCGGATTTTGTAAAGTGAAACTTTCGTTGCGCTCCCCTGCTGAGTAGTAAAGATCACCTAAAGCCCGATTGGAGATCTGTCCAACCAATAGAAACACTTTCGTATCATCGTACTATCGTATAAACCGACGTGTGGGACACAGCTTAAGCCACTCGCCGTTGATCAAAATCTTCGATTATCTTCTTATCACACTGCACGATATTTTTTCTGAAACTAAAAACTGATAAAACATTTTATATGGATCGGTTTCGGAAACACTTTTAGAGCGGTTAATCCAAATTGGAGTCGCCCACAACTACGGCCTTAATTTGAGCAAAGATGCTCCCTTTGGCCAACCGAAAACCTTTGCGATATTCCGCATTTGGGCCACAGGGTGTGTACAGTTTGGTCGACAGCAACGCTCTGTTCGCTCCTCTGGATAGAGCTTGTGGGCCCTTAGCGAGGGTTTTGTTGGGGCCCTGCCATTGAACGTAGTTTTCCCTAAAAGCCGGAATTTTATCGTCGAAGTCGTTGGTTCTTTGAATCACTTACAGAAGGAGCTTCTGGTTCTGCCCCTTGGCATGGTTGCTGTTATGCCCCTGAGTGTTGCTCAGCAGCGCTGATTTATACCCGGCGTTGTTTTCGTCGATGTTTCTACTGAATCTGTTCGCGTTGTCGCTTTTTTCGGATTTCAGTAGGGACTTTATGGACTGTCGGCTCTGGGTGATCGGGATATTGCAGTTTACAACTGGGAATGTTTGCGGGGAGGTCACTGCTGATGTGCTGGAAGGAAGCAAAGATCTCCATTAGTCCGGGATTATTGGAAAACCCCGCCCAGTTACCCTGCTGGGTGCTTTCCATTTCTGCCACTAGCCACTTCGTTGTCTTCCTGCTTCATGATATCCAGGATCTGATTGGCCCTGCATTCGTTAAAGTGCACGCTTTCCAAGGCGATGGATATCAGATGCTCAGGGACATCTTGGTACTTTGCCTTCAGCTTGTCCTTCACTGAAACTCCCCACATAGCAAAATTATATTCCCAGAATATTCCTGGGACATACATGAGTTACATTATGAACATTCCATGTATGTCCCAGGAATCTGTCAGAGTTGATACACTGTATGTTCAGTGAATGTACATGTGTATGTTCAGTGAATATACATACATATATGTAACGAAAGAAAAACGATACTTTATTTCCTCTTATTAGTTTATTCACATATTTAAGTATTTACTGATGTAATTTTTCAACAACAAGAGTTACTTGCAACTAATCTAAAACTAATTAAATGGATAATAAATAAATTAAAATATAACTTATAACTACGGACTAAAAATCTAAATTAACATTTTCAGCATTTTTGCCGTTGTCGCAATGATGTGTGACTGTGAGATAAAACACAAACCTTTATCTAAAAAACTGCACTTATTATTTTATATTCCTTACATGTTCCCGCTCTGTGGCTTTTGCCCTTTCATTTTGTTCTCGATCAATTAAAGTGTTCCACAATGTGTTCTTAACAAAAATTCTATAAGCAATTACAAATTTCAATATTGGTCACAACAACAAAATACAGTTAATAGTTTTACATTGATAGAAGAGTATTTTCGTTCATC